TGTTGACTTTAAATCTTGGATTTACGTAACCCACTCGATATAAGCGATTACGAATACCGGCTTGAATTTGCGACTAGAAATGGTGTTGAATGACCCGATCTGACAACATTTCTGACCACGTCAAAATAATTTGCATAGTTATGAGATGAGATCAGGCAGGCAACATTTGCCAAGCACTTTATTGATTAATCGTGACAATAACGGTGATGTGACCGTAAAGCCGTTACGGTTTCTTACTTAATGGACCGAATGTTAATCACAATTAGCTTTCCACTGAAGCATACAAGGCGGAGCGCGTACTTAGTTCTGGCGCAATTCGTGGATGCGAAGCTCCCATTGTCATTGGGAAAGGAGGGCTAAATTGTATTGCAGTTCAAAATATCGTAGAGAAAATAAGCTCTTCCCTTTTAACTGAAAAATCGATGAAAGTTGAACAATCTAACAAAAAGCTATCTTGATCGTTCCAGTGGGCTGGGAGGGAAAGAGAGGAGAAGCTGGTGGACAAAAAATCACTTTGGTATTTATGGGTAATACTACAGGCCAATGTCAAAGTAGGGAGCACTTCTAACTACGCTAGGTCACGGCCATGTATAAGGCTTTTTTCACATTAATTGGAGAAAAGTTACGTGGCTCAGGGAAAAGTCTACACGAAATTGCCAGCAGTTACCAACACATTTTCCATAGCCGGTTATTTACGAAAACCATGTTTACAGAGAACACGCTACACTTGCAACGTGGAAAAGAAGGCTTTTAGTACGCCCTTCTTTACACTACATCGGGGGGAAAGGTATTACCTATGAATTGTCAGAAAGGCCTACGTTACCTACCGGAGAAAACCAGGAGAGGGTTTGGGGCAGAGAGCGTAGGCTATAAGGTTCAGCTGAATATTCTTAGGCTTCATTACCCTGCGCTTCCTATTGACTGCCAAAATGCATCAATGAGGAGAATAATTGCACACGTTCTATCACTTACAGCTATATCTAAGCCTGAACTGTAGTACATTATCATATTTACTCGTTATAAGCAAGCTTTCCGGATTCCATGATGCTATTAGGAAGCCAAGCAATTCAGCTATTCCGCAAGTTTAAGCTAAAGAAGACTATTAGGCGGAGCTTAGTCTTGAGAGGCGCTTGACAAATTAATCACCAGATTTAGCTTTCAACAAAGGTGAGTAAGATGCAAACACTCCAGAGGCTAGACAACTTTCCATCTTTGTGCGGGAAATATCAATATCATTATCTATAGAACAATGGTTATTTGCTTATAGCAAGTGGAAAAGAAAGCGCAAATTTTGAAGATAGGTTTTAGAAAGGAGTTTAAGAAAGGGTAGGTGTCTGTGTGGTATTAGCATGCTAACTATTTATGGAAGACGTAATATATGTAATAGAATCACATGTGAAAAGATCTATGCTTACACACTGATAAATTTGTGTATTTATTGTCCTTTAATGGCTTTGGCTCAAAAGCAAAATCAGCTAATAATTTGCATGTGCCCTTAAGTAGTAGGCAAATAAAGAGCATTGTAAACTAAAGGATAAGAACTATATTCTTAAAAGTGCATTAAAGGGTTCTAAGAAAAAAGTGAATCTAAGAGTACCATAATTGCTTCACACCTAGCTTCCTGGCTTGACATATGACACAAGGAAAAAATGTAGAAAATTTCTGCTATTAAGAGAACGTCGTATGCGAAAATAAACATGCTATTTAGGTATTGTAAATGTGCACAAGTAGACCACCTAACTATTCAGTAAAGAGTAAACTTTAGATTCGTAAATTTCAGCCTTGTCAAATGGTGCTAAATTAAACATATGGAGTTATTTAAATGTGTACTGTAAATTTGTGTTTCTTATTTTGCTGCATTTAGGGCTTTGTAAGCTTGATGGGAAGCAAAGTAACTAACTAAAATCGGAAAAAACAATTTGTTTCTCACCTCTTGGGCATGTCTTAGGGGTCACACATAAACTGTTAGCTCTGTTAAACTGAAAGACAATGCAGCAAAAATCACCTTTTTAATGGCATAATTAATATTGAGTAAATAATGCTGCTTTGTTTCAGATAATGATTTTACAATTTGGTAATTTTGGTTCTTACTGAAGGCCTGCTAAAGCAAATCTGTTTTATGAAAACTATTTTTCTTTAATAATACAATTATTGTTTATTCTTTTAACGCGTTTAGGAGCTCTTTTACATCGGTGTAGCAAACAGGCATTATTATAGGACGATGCATGAAACACATACTCCAATTATAGGATCATATGTATGTTTGCTTACATTTTTCAACACTTGTTTAATTTTCACTAGAATTATTACTTGGAT